GCAATGCAAGAAATGACTGGACTCTGATGACATATGAAGTAACTCCCTTTAGAACTGTTGAGAAACAAAGTAATATTAAGTCACTACACACGCAGGTACATTCCAGGGATTCTTTCAGGCAAGTCACACTTTATACGCTGTTAACTGCTTTGTTTTGCCTTGCGCATCCCCCCCATACCATTCCATGTTACACATAGGTCTTTTGCCCATGGCCCCCCTCAAGTTTTATTCATGTACATGCATTTATACATACTGGAAACAACACAAAATTGGATCTACAGTGATGACAACTGTATATACTTATTGTAAAACAACATCACAGCGTGGCAACAGCTAGAGCAAGGTGAATACTCCAGAGTGATGAGAACATTCATTTTAATGAAAGCCACAAAAGCTTTGGGCAGCACACGAGGTCTCTCTGCTGAGTTATTTTTGACATCTCCATGAGCAATACTTAGCTGAAGGAAAAATCTGTGGAAATCAGCAGCTTTGCAAGTACAGGTACAAACGTGCTTCTAAGACAATCAATGGCAAGGGTTGACACAGCCACGAGTATCCAATCTTTCCTCCTGTTTATAAATTGGGTTATTGAAATAGGGAGCAGAAACCAGACCGGTCATGACAGGGAGAGGAAACAACAAAAGCAAAGCAGCAAAATAACCAACAATAAGAAACATCTGCAGAAAAAAAATCCCACGGGTTTTACAAAAAATGAAGTTTCAACAAAAAGAAAATTCTAAGCAGGAGATACTAAAGAACAGGAGAAAAAAAAAAAAAAAGGCTAAAAAACGGTCTGTTTCCATCATGAACAGTTCACCCAGCTCTAGGAAGGTAACTCAAAACATTAACGACTGTAAAAGTACGTGGCAGTAATTGCACACTTATGAGGGTCACAGAGCTACTGGGTGTTCTACACCAGCCCCCGCCCCAAGACATTCTCAACATAAATGGTTCAGAAGCAACTAGGTTAAGCACTTTTGAATTTCACCAATATTGTGTTATTTAGAAGTATAGAAAGTGTCAGGTAAAACAATTAAAAGTAACAAAGGCTACTGATTCAACAGCTTTGAAACATTTTTAACGCTAGAAAATGAGATTTTTCCAATATAGAAGTTACTCTATCTTAAAATAAATCATGTGCTTGAAAGTATTACCAATTGTATCCCATAAGAAATTATAATTCCCTAATATGCATTCGAGGTTGCATATTTTTTCTCAAATAACCTTTTGCACAAAAAAACACAATAAATCGCTCTGAAAATGTAACACCAAAGTTTTCAGCATTCCTTCCTTTGCATTGGAGGGAATGCCCCCTTCCCCTCTATAATTTTAAAAAATATACAGAATATTTTAAGCAGAATATATACATTTTGGCTTGTGAAACAATTCAGAATATTTTCTCACTTGATTTTCATCTTTTCCACCGCACCTTCAAAAAAAGCATGCATTTGGCAAATGAAACTAGGGTTTTCTAAACAAAGAATATCAACGCCATAAAACAAGAACTCAGATCAGCTGAGGATTTAACCCTCTTCCGGAGGTGGCTGGGGAGAAGGCGCTCTCTCAAGACACTGCATAGTAAAGGCTGGCTGAACGCCATCCTGCGTTACCAACCAAGGGTGTCTACGGTGGCCTTTTCCGCCGTACAGGAATCGCTCCTTGGGCTCCTCCACACACTTGAAGGCTAAGAAGTAATTCTAAAACATTTCCTCTGTGTGGCCAATTCTTCCTCACCCATTCAGTCTAAATCAAAAAGATTAATGCTAATGTTAAACTAAATTAGGTATACTTTGCCTGCTTTGTGTAGAACCCTACACCGCACCCACTGTATAGTGAATGTCTCATTCACTTGAGCAAAGTACACAAGTTTCCTTCCTTGAGAAAAAAACAATTTTAAATTATTTGTGACATTAGCAAAACACACTTTGCCCAATTACAGTATATGCCAGACCAAAAAACTGATCTGAGGCAAACCAATTCTACATTGCTATTAAATGAGAAATTACTCATTTAAATTTACTGCAAATAGAAAAATATACCTTTGCAGACAGATGCATTCTTAAGTTCTTCCTGAATTGTTTAAATGCATGTTTCTTCGGTAACCTTACAAACACTGGGAAAAGGGAAAGTAGGGGGAAAAAGGAAGAAGAGGAGATGGAAGGTTTTAAAGAAACACATAACGAATGTAAATTATTCTTCAAATATAGGACTTGCAGTGCTTCTTTGGCACAAATGTAGTTGACATATTTTTATGGCAAAAGCCAAAATACATGTATGTACAGAACTGAATCAATATAAATGCTTGGAGCGGGGCTGTATCTCAATCAAAGACTCAGCCTTTTTCTTGATTTATCACTGCTTAGATTTGAACAAGTGATGTACTAACCACACAGACAAATGAGGTTATATGGCCACACAAACTGACTGGGTGATTGGGACATTATGGCTGACGTGGACAAACAAATACTCCTCAAAGCAGAAACACTGTGGTATAGAAATAAAAGACATAGCTAAACAGCAGATATCTGATTAGAATATTGAAGAAAACATAGATTCCTTTATTTCTTAGATAGCTATGGCAGGATAAAAACTGCCTCAGAAGGAGAAACAATTGAGAAGAAAACTACTATTTGAGCAGATATAGGACTGTAATATATTAATAAAATTACAGGTAAAGTCCTAGTGCATTCCTTTATTTTGGTGTATCTAGGTAAAGGTCTTCTTGGGGAATAGGGAAGACTACAATCTGTTTATTGCATCTCCACATGGTAACTGGATCTTTAACCAGGTCTCAATAAAGATACGGATTCATTAAATGACATATTAATACCTATTACAAGCAGTACTCAACTTTCAGGCAATGATTTCTTAAGATGATTGGGATCCTCAATGTGGAGATGTAGCATACAATTTGAATGCTAATGCTTAAGCTGCACCGTGAGCATGTAACTACAAACGCTGAATTTATACTCACTTTAATTGAAAGTTTGCCATATTTTGATAGCTTCTTTTCTTTCATTATTAATTTTAAGGGCTTCTTCAATCAATTTATGAATTCATTTCGTCTATGCCAGTGAGAGAAGAAACTCATATTGCATACTGAAGTCACTACAAGTTTCAGAACAAAGATGAAATGACAATTTAAGTATTGGGCAAAAGTTGCTTTTAAGAGTGAGATCTTGAAAACCCACCAGTTTCTGCAGCCTTCAGTTTAGAATGATACTTCCAATCATTACTGTAAAAGTAAAGATCCAGGATGGGAACTGAAATACTACCAGTTGCAGACAGGAACAACAAATAGCAGAGCTGTTTGCAGCAAGGATCATCCAAGGCATTTGACAGCAGCAGAGCTTCCTTAGCCTTTCAGGGAGAATCCCTCTCCCTTCAGCTCACTGAACTCAGGAGAATTTGGTGTGTGACTACAAGAGGGATAAACCTCTCCAGTAACAGCCCAGGCTCCATCTGAGTGTCACATCAGCAGGCTAAGACTCTTTGAGTTATGGGGGAAATAGTCTTTGCCACATAATTTGCTTGAAAGGCCACACATAACACTATCAGAAACTTGTGGAGAGCAGATATTATCATTTTGTCCAAATCCTAAGGCTCACTATATCTGTTTTTAAAAAGGTAATTATAGGTGCTATTTACAGTCTATTCTACTGAGAGATAATGTTAATATGTGGCTCTACATATTTTTACTAAGAGAAGGATTCTTCCCATATAGACAGTCTATCAGTGTCAGAGACTAATCTCAAACTGGATTCTCAAACAACAGTCCAGAAACAGCAGCATCTCTTCACTAGTCATTAACCTATAGCTGAAGGCTATCTAAGGCAATCCTGTATGGGTTTCGCTGCTGGGGAGCACTATCATTTCATCTTCTGCATCTAAATACAAGCAGTAGCTTCAGCCATCCTATTAGAATAAAGTAGGAATTGTTGCTACCCAGCCCCAAAGAAGTGGACACGTTTATACTGGAAAAAAAAAGAGATGTACCTGCAAGACGAACCATTCAAAGCTGCACCTGAGCAACTTGTTTTTATTGGCATACTTAGGTATCAAAACATTGCCATCAGTATGTCCAATCCTTCAGACATATGAAGATAATTAAGCATTAATTATATCTTCAAAGTACAACATGACCAAATATAAATACATTAGAAAGAATAAAACATGCAAAATTCCTAAACTTTAAAAGAATTATTCAAAAAAATTATGCTAGTGAGACACCTGTACAATCAATCAATTTTTCTTTCCCATTTTCTCATGTTAGGATCAATAATTGTTAACAAAATACCAGGGCATAATGAAAAATGTCTGGGCTCTACAGAGCACAGTGAACTGCTATTTCCCCTGTAATACCAAATTATTGTTCTGGAACCTAACTTTTTTTAAAAATATATTTTTAAATATTGCCATTCATTAACCAGCATAAATATTTGAATTGCATTTCACTCACCAAAATTAGTAAACCGATTGCTTGCAGGATATAGTAACCGTCCATGACAAAAAACTAGGATGATCGGCAAACTGCTAAGATAGCAACTGTGAAAGACAGCCATGAATTTCTCCATGTGAAGGATTATCATGAATAATGTATCTTACTGTATTTTCACCACGTATTTTTGGTTCTATTAGATCACTTGGACCACTTTGGGAGGAGAAAGATTTTGCCACTGTGCTATAGTGACATTTGAAGTATCAAACGCAGGATTCCCATCTGTTAATTGCACCTGTTAAAGTGTCTGTTAATGGTAACAAAAGAGATTAAATGGCCAGAGGTAAAAGCATTCCATATTAAAAGTTATTTAGCAACTTGGGGAGAGGATTAGAAAAATTATTGGAAGCAGTTCTTGTCCAGATGAGCATTATGCTAGGCCACAAGACAAATTACAGTTTGCATTTAGAAGTTCAGGTCATGCTAGTCTTTTCTGGGGCAGGGATATAGCACTGAACTCACTTCAAGACCTGCTATGGGTATGTGAGCACCAATGGCTTCCACAAGGCATCTAGCAATGTCCCTGCTAACAAGTGGGTGAGTCCATTGTGGAGAGAGTCAAGAAGCTTCTGTCGTTGGCATAGAAGGGATCCGATGAACTCCATGATCTAAAGTAACAATAAAAGAAAAGTTTGGCTGACTGGGAACCTATAATTTAGAGGCGAGGAGCAAGGTCTATGACAGCAAGAGAAAAATATGAGATAGGCAAAGGTAACTCCTGAAAAAACTAATCAATTAATTCCATGTAGGCACCTGCAATTCACTCAGACTCTTGAAATTACACTGCAATTACCAGTGCCAACTATGTATTGACAAGTCTACGTTTGCCACAATGGTAAAGTTTGCTTAGAGCTACAGATATCTGCACTGCTGTAAGATGAAATAAATGGGCTTAAAGATCAAGCTTCACAGCTCAAGTTTTAACATTGTGCCTCAGGAAACTGAATTTTGTCTGTATAATTTAAGGGACTCTGAATGCTTCAGTTTAATTTTAGCATAACATCATTTTAGGAAAGCCTTAAGGTATGCTCAGCTACATGTTGTACTGCTAAGCCCTACGCTGTCCACAGCTGCAGGTGGGTGAAATCACTCCAATTTACCTACAGCCAGGAACTTAATTCAGCGCTTACTGTTATATTTAAGCTGCAGACTGTGGCTACAGGAGAAGTATTTAAGATGTCAGAACTTTTGATATGGGTGTGATCTAGAAATACTTCTCTTAAAGATAAGCCACTTCTGCTGTATACAGGCCATGGCTCTTGGCTGAACTATTTATGTGCAATTCTGTTGGACTGTATACGAAAAAAAACCCCAAAAAATAAAAGGTAGGAAGGCAGGAAATGCAAATATAAAGACTTTATCCTCCCAATTCACCTCTGTCAGACATCTGCTGTTTCCTTTGAACATTTACATGTGGTGCCTTGACAAGAGAATTTATGTGATCCAGTATTCTCAGTATTTTAGTGACTGACAAGTTGACAGACAATTTAATGGAACAGAGACACAGATATGCACTTTACCATACTATGATACACATTTTATATTGTAGTTGGTGAATGAAACTATGGAAAATACTTCTTGAATACATTTAAAGAACGGTAAAGCATCTACAAGAGACTATATTCCTGTGGCCCTCTACTCCAAGCATTTGTACAACTTTGATGAATCAAAGTTTCTACCAAAATTTGATACGATATGTGATTTCATGTTCACTTATCATATTTGACAGAACATCAGGAGCACACAGAAAATATAACACAAGCTATCTACATTATTATCTAAATAGCAATTCTCACTGCACAGCGCTCTTACACACAACAGCTTCATAGGTATCAATTCATTCAGTGAAAATCTGCAGCTACCTCTTGTTGAATAAGATGCTGTTTTATACAGTACTAGCACAAAAAGCCTTCTGCTTGGGACTGTGATCTTCTGATTACACCAACTACTACTAAAAAAGATCAAAGCAGATCAATCTTGGGAAGAAAGGCTAAAGTTTACAGGCATTTTTAAACCTTCGGATTTTTTAATTGAACATTCAGTTTTTCACAACTTGTAACTGACTTGTGATTAAAGCAATGAGTACATTATTAAAATAAACTTTCACATATGTGGCTGAAAGTGTGGGTGAATCATGTAGATATTTTCCTCCTAATCCCTTTAGTTTTAGGCGAGGTTTTAAGTGTAAATGCTGATCATTTGAAGACATCAAAAGCAGTACGTCTACAACCAAATAGATTGTCTTCTTTCTACTTCTACTGTACATATAGTTAAGTGCAACAAGAGGATGATTAGGAGTAATTTCAACCAGAGGCAGAAGCAAGAACAACACAACTTCAAGCCCTTAGCACAGCACTGAGATAGTTTTGCATATTCATTTAACATATTAACACCAATGCAGCAACTCTAAAGTTATTCAGCTGGATGCAACTTTCTGTGACAATTACAAGTTAACAGACAAGAAACTTGAGAAAAAGCAGTCTGCAAAAAGTGCTTCATATTCTGTCAAATATGATTTTCATCTTCAATATTTTTAAGTTCTTAAAGAAAATGAACATGAGTGTAAAAGGAAACAGTAAATATGTAAATGCATAGAAGAAATAAAACACAGAATACCTACCTTATAAGACTATGTGTTACTAAAGCAAATCCTAACTAAAATGTTACACTTGTTAGATAACAATAAATGGAAAAAGCAGCCAAGATCATCATTTGCAAAGCACTTTCACAGAGAACAAGAGTGAAAAAACCCTTAAAGCAACCACTGCCAAATTATTGATTTTTAGACCACCTTGTAGATTAAAAATTCTATTAACAGTTTATTTTACACGTCATGCCCACTTTTTATACAGCAAGAGTTTTGATTAAAATGTATTTGATCATCACAGTTCCTTTTTTTTTTTTCATATGGAATGAAACATCTTCCGTAATCATATCCCAGATTTGTAGAAATGTTGAATAGAATTTCGTAAGCAAGCCAGTAGAGAGAAAGTGACGGAAACTACAGACACTGTTTTTAACACAAGTCTCAAAACAGTGATGTACTTCATACCAAGTCAATACCTAAAGGAAAAATCCAGAACTGACAAAGTGTCAGTGAAAGTTACTCGCACAAGGTTTTATATGGAATGAATGACACCACAACCGTTAACTAAAAGGGGGCAAAGTTGTTCAGATACTCAAAAATCTGTGAAGTTAAACTTCTTTAGGTTGGCCTTTTGACTAATGAAGGACTATGATATCATTCTGGGACCGAGAGATTACGATGTACAAAAGACTATTTTTACTTCTACCCCCAAATATTTCCATGTTTGTTAGCTAGCCCTCTTCATCTGGAAGTGCTAGGATGGCACATTAGCAGATTAGTGAGAGGTTTTATCACAGTTATGGCTGCTGCAAGAGCAGTATGACTCCTTCAAAATATTTCTGGTTACTCTAATATGCTTTTAACCCATTGAGGTTTGTTTCACACATATGGTTTGAGAAGGAAAAGATTTATTTAGCACATACTTTCAAATGGCACACATGATTTTGACAACATACTTCTAATACTGAAAAAATGCTTAAAATTCTTTGAACCTGAAGGCTCTGTTCTGTCAATTACTTAGATTTTAGAAATAGATTATAAAAGTTTTACTACAAAAATATTTGATTTTCATATCAATCAATGGCTGAAAGATTTAAAGACTCTCCTTCTAACAATGAAGTTCTATTTAAGGGCAGGGGGTGTGAGCCTTGTGTGTATCTTCAGAAATAATCCAAGCTCCAAGGTAAATATATGGAGGTTGTACATCAAGAAGAAAGGGAAAAGGCTTTTGATTTTACAAAGAACTCCTGATTTGTGAAGGAAAAAACAAACAAAAAAACAAAACAGGAGAATAAGCACAGCATTGAGGCTTGATTTTTTTAAAGAGAAGAATGTACAAATCAAGAAAAATTACTATAGATACAACACAAGATCGTGTAGTAAGCCAAACTAACTGTTTTAACAGAAATCTTTCTAAAACCATTCCCCCTCCACCATCCCAAAAGAAAGTACTCAAAACTTATTTTTTAGGATGAAAAAAGTACAATAGAGTTGCATTTGCTATTAAATAAGTAAAACCTGCAGCTGGTTTACTAGACATCTATAGCTGCAGGCTCATTGGGTTCCAGTTTATAGGAGAATCGCCTGCAGCAAAGGCTATTGAGAGAAATTCCACACCTGTTGACCCGGGTAGGACTACATCTTCCCATTAGTCGTTCCAGCATTCTTCTAAGAGGTGTGCATGCTGTTTCCCCATCTGAGAAGCAGCACATGGAGTCCAAGCAGTTGATACCTGAACCTGTCTCAGTAAGCTGGAAAAAAAGGGGGGAAAAAAAATAAAAATCAGTATCGGGCGACTCCAGCAAAAAGGATGTCATCTTTGTTTCTTAAAATTAGCGTTGAATATTTTTAAACTTTACAGGGAAACTACAGTGATCAATAACGTCACTATTTCCCTTCCTAAGGGCTATCGACACATGTTTGGCCTGCTGGTCTTGCCAAGGTGTGAAGAGAGCCTTACTGAGAGCACGGTGCTTGTTTAGCACCATCCTTGCTTAACGATGGAAATAAAGAGGCTGGCAATTCCAGGTGATACAGCTGTAAGGAACCTCAGGAGCAAGCCTCATGCACTATAAGCTGTCATGCCTTGATTAACCCTCAGGGGAGGTACCGCCATTTATATGAGCTGCGAGTCTGCTGTTTTAAGCAAAATCTATCAAGAAGCAAAACTTTAGATCAAAATTGCTAAGTAAAATGCAGCAAACTGTTCATAAGGTTTCCTTATTCCTCCAGTACTATGGAATGCAACTATAGTTGCAAATATAGTACTATAGAATGCAACTTCCTACAGCAAATTTATATTCCTGGTTTAGATTAGCCTACTAATGACTACCACCCCAGGCTTGGAAAAGGAACCAAAGCACATTCCTCATTTTGCAAAGATCTTTATCTAAATACAAAGAACAGACTGATATTGAGGAAGTTCAGTCAGATTCATGCTAGTAGGAAGAACAATTCACAATTGTTTTCTATGTTCATTCGTAGCGTGTGAGAAAGAGACCCAAATAAAACAAAAGAAGTTGTAGAGAGATGTATGGGTTTTAAATGCCATCTATTAGCATTCTCCTCTATTATTCTTGAATATGACTCAGCTGCAACACAACTAAAAGCTAACCGAAATTTAGCACTACTGCAAACCGGAAAGGGAGTATCTGAACTGGATTTTGGTATCCTTTCCGAAAGGACAACGAGAGGCAGAGGGTGGGGAAGTCTTCTAAATTCAAACTCTCCATGAGAGCATCGAGCCAAACAAATGCCAAACACACAGGTCAGTGAAAAAGCTGGTCTGGGAGGAGTCTTAGTCTCCTGCAGGGCAGAGCTCCCTGAGAACTTCCCCCTTTCCACGCTGTAATGGAAGCTGAGATGGATGAGCGCTGTCTGAAACACTTTGGTCTCCAGACCTTCCACTTTCCTTCATGCCACTAACACTTTCCCAATACAAGGAAGGCAAAGAACCTCCAAGCTTCTTATGGGATGGTTAACTATGAGGAGACTTCTTCCTTCGCAATCCTCCAAAGCAGGCAACTGCACAGATTGCAGCTTCGTAACAGCACAATTCCTACTAACAGGAACCAAAGGGTTTGGAAAGCTAGGAGAAAACTTCATTTGGTGAGGAAAGGAGGGAGCACAAAGGCCAACTGAGCAGCCTGATCCTCCAGGCCACTGGGAAAACAGAAAGGTGACCTGGGCGGAACTGGTGCCGACTTGTATCACTCCTGTGTTCTGTTCTACCTCCCGTGATGTCTGCAGTTCTAACCTCCAACACTGCTTAACACCCTGCCTACAGGAGCATCAACAATTAGCACATAAATAAATGCACAGAAAGAATTACAAACTGATCCCCATTTCAGTTGCAGTAACTCAGAGGCCGTGAACGAGCGCAGTGGGGATGCCCACTTCCACATACCTGAAACTCGCTCTTGAGGTCTCCTGACACAAACTGAGCATTTAATACGAGAGAATTTGTAAATACCTAAAGACAGTAGCAGAACCATTGCTACCAACAGACCTATAAGTTTTTTTTGATAAAAACAAAAGTCCCACACCCAAGAACAACAAACCACAACCACAAACGTTGTCAGAGTTCCTGTCTCTGAACTTCCTTATTTGATGGCCATCATACGTAGTCACAATGGTACTGTCATAGACCATACCTTAATTAGGAACAGCACAATTTACAGCCTTGCAGAAAAAAAATATTAAATATCTCTGAAGAAAACACATCTGCTCTTTGCTCCTCAGATGCTGAATAATATAGAAGAGTTTTAGGAACAACTGCCCTCAGTAGTATGCCAAGATTAAAACACATTTTTATTTGCAGCTGTTTGTTGCAAGGAGAAAGGAATCTATTTGATCATATACAAATGATTCTTACTTTCCAGTGAATATCTCTGTATTTTTCTGTATATTTATTTGCTACTGCTTAAGCAGCATAAATTCTCTGGAATATCTCTGTATTTTTCTGTATATTTGCTACTGCTGAAGCAGCATAAATTCTCTACAGGATAAATCTCAACCTTCACAGCCCCTGGCAGAGAAGGCAGTAGGGAAACTACCTGCTGAGACCTGAGAATTAGCAGCAGTCCTAGATGCTGTAAAAAACTGGCAAAAAGAATAACCAGAAAGTCACCCAAACCTGCTCCCAATGACTCCTCAGCTCTGTGTCAGTATTCCCCAGTCAGATACTCATATAAAGAGTTAGAATCATGACTTATGAAAGACATAACATTATCCTTTTTTAGACAGCAAATGTACAGAACATCAGACAATGTTTACTGTTCTAATTCTACTATCTAATTCACAGTTAAGTGTAAAGTAATATTAGGAGAGCATTAAGGACACAACATGTTATACATGTTTGCAGGTTGTGTGTCACTGCCTGGTGAATATAGATTTTACACTTATGCCAACTGCCTGGGTGGAAGACACTTATGTTATAGAATCTCTTTTTATCATTTTTCTCTCTGTTATGGACAAATACAGACATAATTTTATATCAAAGTAAAGCCCGAGAAAGCTCCTAAGGCAGTAGAGCAAAATGGTTTCTGAAAACCTGAAACACATCTTAAGGAAACAAATGGCAGGCAAGCTAATACTTAGAAAAAAATAATAAATCTAGAGAAATACCTGATAGTACTCATATTTGAGCTGTAAATAAAGTAAGACTTGTTCAAAAGGCAAGATCTGGGATCACAACAACATAATACTTTATAGAATAATGGACCATTTCATGTAATAAATCAAAAAGCAGTTGAAATGCTGAACAAAAGATAGCGATTCTGTCTGATAAGCAAAAACCAAACTCACATACTATGATGGAGATTTTCTTGCAAATATAAAAAAAATGGGTATTTTGGAGATGGCTGCATGACTGGCTAAGTATGAGAGATATTAAAAAAATATGTTCACACACAATAGGGTAGAATGGGAGTACTACCTAGTGAACGTAAGAACTGTCCTGCGGGCTAGGTGGATCTAGCAGTTGCCTATTGTCCTCCCCTCTGTGCTTGCTTTCAGCAAAGTCACCTGCTGAGCTGACTGAACCCTTATCTTCTTCCATCTAGAAGGACAGAAAAGCAACACAGCTTATAAAGCACCATGCTTACAGTGATTTAAAACAGTTATCATGTTTAATGAACTTGCACTTTACAGACATGATTTTGAGAGAACAAGGCATATTTACATGAAAAAAGAGGCATTTTTTTTCCAAGTTAATTGGTGAATCAATCATGCTTTAATCGGTGCTCGAGTATTAGAAGGCACCACAGACTTCTTATGCGCTACAGACTGGAAAAGGGGAAAAGCAGTAATTTTGTAATCTAGTTTTGATTTGGGGATTTTTTTTTTCTCTCTGTAATAGACAGGATCATTTCAGTTTGTTCCTCACAATACAGATCTTCCTATGTGCCATAGGACAGACATTCCAGCTAAAAGGTTTAATCCCACTGAAGCCTGCAGTTGGTGCTTTGCTGAAAAGGAGATCTAATCCTGTATGTCAAGTTAAGCACACTCCAGTGTATCTTCTTGAGCTCAGACTCCCGATGCCAACGTGTCTGATGCCACATGGACACTTTAGACAGTTCAGGAGATGGCTGCTACTAACCTACTTTTTAAACCTTACTGTACAACTCGTATTTTAAACCCTTAACTTGATGCATACCTAAATCCCAATTAATTTATTGGAAAGATTTTATTTTTACAGCCTAGTAATACTGTAATACTGTATGGTTTTACAGTATAAATGCTGACCTCTAGCTCCACTGTCACTTATTTATTTATTTATTTTAAAGTATTGCTACTCTTTATCTCCTCAAAGCAGGTAAACCTACTAATGCTAAATTAATTCATTATTTCAACATCATTAGACAAATGTATCTTCAAGCAAGTACCTATGTGTACTTTTGTGAGAAAAGATAAATACTAAAATGTAATTTCTCGTAAAATCTGGAGATTCGGTGGACCAGCTCGCAGATCAGCACTTCACTATGCTAGACATTATTCAAACCCATAAAAGAAGAGATTGCACTTGATCCAAGTTGAGCACATTAAGATGTTCTGATATACTTCAGTAACACGAGTGCATGTTTGCACATGAATAGATGGTTGTCTTGGAAATCACACATTCCTTACAGAAAATTTAGGCTATACAAGGCACAGGAACCTGTCTGCACTTGACTTCTGTGCAGCTGGAGAGGACAAGGTATGAGAGCTATCAGGAGGGAAATCACATGAAGCAGCAACTAGAGGAGGAAAGAACAGACAAGTAATTGAGGCCTTAAAGACTGAGGCAGGAGTCTTTGAATGGAGACAGCTAAAGAGAGCAGATCGGTACAGAAAGGAAGGGAAAACAAGGGAGCAGTAAAATCATGGGAGGGTAGCGGGGGAAGGAATAATGTCTTGGCCAAGCTAAGGTACATGCCACTGCTTAAGAGGCATAGATATTATATATTGTGCAGTTAACAGCCTCCTCCGTACATAAAAGCCTTCTTCTATGTTCCCTCATGCTGTGTACAACATCAATATACTGCCCAAAGGTAAAAAAAAATCCATAGTATAGTTAATTCCATCAGTGATTACAACTGCACCCATTCTATTGCATCTATCACACCCATTCCAAGAACATCAGGAGAGACAGCTACAGAGGAAAGAGAAATGTGTTGAAAAAGCAAGTGCTCAGTCATCAGTCTATTGTAGAGCATAAGGCACCTGAGTTGTGCTGCCTGATTTCCTCTTCATCCCAATTCACAAAGAG